GTAGATTTAAATAAACTGTATCAGTCACCATGTTAATATGAATGGTCAAAAACCTCAATTAAAAGGCAAAGATATCAGACTGAGCGAAAAAGCAAGACCCAACTATTTGTTGTATAACCCCCCCAAAACATCATTTTTTACATAAACATACAAATAGGTTAAAAGGATGGGGGAAGATACTAGTCTAACATTACTTTTTACAAAAGCTATAGTGGCTCTTATGAAGAAACTGGTTTTCAGAGCAGGTCATTTCAGAATGAAAAGGGGTCAATTCCACAAAACATAATAGCCCTGAATGTGTCTTCAAATAACATGAAGCAAAACTTGATAAAAAACTGCAAGGAGAAAAAGATACCTTTATAATCATAGTTGGAGATTTGAATATTCTCCTCTCAAAAATTAATATACAAAAATATCAGTAAGGATACAGAAGACTTGAACACGAACTAAATAAAGCTAATTGACATTTATACAATATCCCATCCAACAGCAAAACACACATTCAAGTGCACACATTACATTTACTAAGAAAGGGCACATTTGGGGTCATAAAATATCTCAAGACTTATTTCAAAATATTCTGCAGAATTTATCTGGTCTTTGTCCTGGCATGGAGCTCCTAAAACCCTTAGAATTTCCCAATGTGTGTTTTTTATTCATCATGGTATATGCTAATGAGGTGACTCATGGGGCAGGGGGGGGTGTGGGGGCCTAGTTTATGCCAACAGGAAGGCTTAGGATGGCAAGAGCCCACACCAAAAAGACCACCACATGATTAGAATGTTGAAACTTTGAGCCATCCTGACATCCTGGGAGGGTAGGAGCCCTGGGGAATTGGAGACTGAGTTTAACCACAAGGTCAATGATTTACTAAACCCTCCCAACATGATGATACCCTAAGAAAAACTCTGGACTTCCTTAGATCTTTAAAAGTTCTCATCACAAGGAAAAAAAATTTTTGTAACTAAGAATGGTGACAGATCCTAGACTTACTGTGGTGATCATTTTACAATATATACAAATATCGAATGATTATATTGTACCCCTGAGATAGTATGTCAATTATATCTAAATTTAAAAACAACTGTTACCTAGGATGCAACAGAAAGTTACTCAAAGAGAGCTGAAAGCTCTCAGCAGAAGGGAGGTGGGGGAAGGGACAAAAGCTGGGAAGGAATGTATTTCATTGTGCAGAACCAACAGTTCCAGCCAAGTAGAAGCTCAACTGTTTCACCTGATAGCCCCTTGCTAGGTGTGTCTCACCTGAGAGCCCCATATCTGAGCTATTGAGCTGGACCAGAGCCGAGCACCAGGGCAGAAGCCCCCCTGAGTTGTTACATTTAGCTCATTATACTACCAAGATCTCCTTCTATGGGTGGAGTTTTCTGACATTTTTTGAACATACCATGTATGCACTAGCCCCTCGACAGGCTAGGCATGAGCAATTGAACCAAAGTGCCTGTGCAAGCTCCCTGCTCCCACCTTCACACTGAATAAGAGCTTCCCGCACTAACCACATGGTGAGACAGTTCTTGGGGAGCTACCTTCCTGTCTTCTTACTTGTAACAAGCAATAAAAAGTTCTTTGCTTTCAACATTTCCTTGGGTTGTGTTCAATGTGATGTTCAACCCCCAACAGTGAACCCCTTGAGTTGTTACATAACCAAAAACAAACAAACAAAAAAACCTCTGGACTTTCCTGATCACTTGATATGTTTTATTTCTTGACCGGGTTACATAGTTGTTGCTTATAATCATCCATTAACTTACTTATGCACTTTTCTGCATATAAATTTCACAAAAAAATATTTTTAAATATTGAAATTAATCCAGATTTGATGAAGGCATATACCTGCAGATTCACAAAACACCTAAATCCCAACCATGATAAAAAGAAGTCTGTAGCTAGACATATAATAAAAATTGCAGATCTCCAAAGATAAAAGGGAATATCTTAAAACAGTCCAAAGAAGTCAGCTCAAAATCCACAGTTTTAACGACATAATTTCAGAAAGTGAATTCTACTTTGAAGGAATGAATGTATGAGATGCAAGTAAAGAAGGTGAGTGGGAAAAAAAGATAATCATGCTCATAAATCTAAACATTAACTCTATAAAATACTAATAATATCCAATTTGGAGGTTAATAAAGAACTAGAGGAATTAAAATTAACATATTTTGGGGCATCTGGGTGGCTCAGTTGGTTAAGCGACTGCCTTCGGCTCAGGTCATGATCCTGGAGTCCCAAGATCGAGTCCCGCATCGGGCTCCCTGCTGCGCGGGGAGTCTGTTTCTCCCTCTGACCCTCCCCCCTCTCATGTGCTCTCTCTCTCTCTCAAATAAATAAAATCTTTAAAAGAAGTTTAACATATTTTAATATCTTTATGTTGTTTGGAAGAAGGTACATATATTTACCATTTTTGGATGTTAGGCATGTTTAATTTCTAAGGGTAATCAAGAATACTTAGAATGTTTACATTTCAAATCAAAGGAAAATATATTTTAAAAATTCAAGTAATACAAAAACAAGATGAGAAAAAAGATGGGAAAGAAGCATAGCATAGAAAAAGAGAAAAACAGAAAGCACAAACAATATGGAAAAAATAAATCCAAATAGATTTGCACTTCTGCACTATGAAGGGACAAATACTCTTAAGAGTTCCTTCAATACAAAATACTAGATTCCGTAGAAAACAGATTTTTTAATTCATTGTCGGTTGAACTATATAAGGGAAATCTCCAGGCCCAAATCCCCTACAATCACAGGGGGAAAAAACTGAGCTGAAACAAAAGCAGGAAAGGATCAGGAAGCATCAGGCAAAAAGCAAACTTTCTTGAAAGGTGGGATTCACCCTGACAGCAAATGCCTGCAAACCACTTTTGGAGACAAAACCTTGGGACAGTAGCAAGGTCAGGGAGCTGAAAATAAGACAAACTAAGACAACTGCATTCATGAAGGACCCTTCAGGGGGCTACAGTGATACCAAATGGGTTCATACTGACTCACTGGAAGCAAATGCAAATCATATCTGAAGGGAAGTATGCACAATTTTGGTCCTTTGTCTTCCCACAGACTAAACTCAGCTACACACTCAAGGAAACAGGCTAATCGACAGGTACATGACAATAATCAAAAACTTACTTATAAAGAATTAAAATATTGAAATGATCAAAAATAGAATATAAAATGAGTTTTTAAAAATTAGAAACGGACTTATAAAAGGCTATAATGAATAAATGGGAAGATTAGAAAAAGAATCAAATGAAAAATATAATTATTAAAATTAAAACCATCATTAGTGTTTTAAACAGTAGATCAGACAATGCTGAAAAACAAATTAATGAACAAGAGACAGAGCTGATGAAAATAACCAAAATGCAGCAGATAAACAAGATGACAAAAACTATGAGATTAAGGGAAAGTCCATAATTTGTGCAGAGTCCTAAAAGAATACAAAAGCAATATTTGAAGAACTAGTGGCCAAATGTTTTACAGAACTAACATAAATTGAAAGAAATGGGAATCCAGCATATATTGAGGCTAAAAAGGAAATTCACATCTCCAAACATAGTAAATCTGTAGAACACCAAAGGAAAAACAAAAACAAGGATTAAAAGGAGACGGAAATAAAAGATAAACTAGAAAGTCAGAATGCAGAGGCACTAAGATATTGAAAGGCTAACTTAAAGCCACAGAATGAGTAACAATGCTTCGATAATCCCCACAGCATTCTCACTTCAGAGAGTGTACTTTAACTACTATTTTATTCTCTTTTTAAACTGGCCAAAACTGTTTTACTCTTAACCTTTTTTTTTTTTTCAAACCTTTCTAGTTGCTTAATAATTTCTGGCTAAAATAATACAAGGATTATTTGAAAAAATTTTTAAATGTATTATCTAAAAAAGTAATATATCCTTTTTATCAGGCTAACAATCTTACCAGTATACTACATGTAGAAAATTCCATAGTCCTTGATCCAGAATACTAAATATTTGCATATGAATAACTTTTGAGGTTCTTGCTCTAAGTTATTGTTTTTGATAACCCCAAACTCCCTGTTAAAAATCCTTGGTTAGGAAATTTTCAAATTTCAAAAAATCTAAAACTAAGTTAAAACTTCTTATCTAAAAGAAAGTATCTTTCCGTTACTCTTTATTCACATTTGTATATTTTATTTTTATCATTTTTTCTTTAGATTATATCTGCAAAGGTCATAAACTCGAGAACAGGACTCTTCCGAATCAGTGCTGAGGTATACTTTGATGTGTTCTAGAAACTTATGTCTTGCAAATTATAAGATGTCCACAATCTTATACCCAATTTTTAACCTTGCAGGCAAAAGGGGAAGGCAATTAACAATGGGAAAAAGAGAACACCTATTGATTTAGTAATTGTGCATATTTGTTGTGGATATGACATCCTTAATCTCATCTCCAAAAATAAGAAGATGCAAAAACATCTAATCATTAGTTTAAAACCCTACACAGATGAGCCAGAAGGAAATGGACTTCTTCCATTATCTAGCATTCTTAAAAACCTATCACATTGCCTTTCTGGTGTCCATCCTTCCCTTAATCTACCTGGATGGAGAGTTCCTTCTAGTTTTCTACAACATGTACACTCCCCTGCTCAACTTCCCACCTGGCCCCTGCCACACCATTCATTCAATATTTACTGAGTGCCTTCTATGTAGGCACTGTAGTAGATTCTCGTGTACTCAGAAGCATGAACTGGATATACATTGCTTCGGTATTTAAAAATCATCTTATTAAATGGTACATAGTACATCAGTCAAAGATACCTGAATATTTAGTAGTTGGCAGTAGAATTTCTTTTTTGGAAGTTTCCTAATGGGCTGAATTTCTTGAGCCATTCCATATTTCACAGAAAAAAAATTCTTTGCTATGTCATAGCAATGATTTGGCTAGTCTATTTTTTACACATAGGTGTATATCTCTCCCCCTTCCCCCCCTCCCCAATTTATGGGAAATGTACTAATACTAACCATGATATTCTTTTTATTGAAAAGCAATACAAAATAGCTTTAGAAATAAGAAGATAATTTTACATTATTTCTTCTGTTATGAATATTTTTATGCTTTGTGCCAGAATTTACTTCCCCTAACTACACTTGCTTTTATCGAGAACATTTTATATTGGATTTCTACATTATTGAATATCTATTAGTGTTTAATTTAGAGGAGCTTAATAAACTGCTAAATCTGAGAACAATGGCTTTTCCTTTGCTTTCTAGACCTTTTTTCTGAACATGCTTATTTCTGCACAGTGGGCAAATCTGACCCTGCTCTCTTCCAGTCGGCCAACAGCTCTTTTTGTACCTCTTCTGGTAGTTCATAGAAAACTTCAGGATCAATGTCAGAAGGAAAAGTAATTTTCTCATCACTAGAATCTTGCTCTTTATTTTCTGTAAGTCTTTCATGATGAGAGACTGTCACTGTTGATTCCTTATGGCTATCTGTAGTGCGGTTTTTGGAGAACAGTCGCTCACTCTGCAAATTTGGAAATGAATGGAAAACAGATACGGCAGGGTTTGTATTTGAAAAATGAAATCCTTGAGATTGTTTAGGTCCTTGATTCATTCGTTCATCTTTTAATCTACTGTCTACATAATGTGAATAATCCTTTTGGCTAGACGGAGAAGAGGAACTACCGCTATTTAAACCTGATGTTCCTGGTTCACAGGGAGACACAGATGATATCTGTTTACTATTGGATAAATGATCTGTAGGATTTAAGGGACTATCTTGCATTTGTTTTGTAGTAAAGAAAGATAATACTCCCCTAGAGGCATGTAATGGACAACTCAAACTTCCTTTGCCTTGAACTTTTTCTCCAGATTTTCCAGAAAGGATTTCTTCTTGAATATCTACTGGAAGCTGCTTAAAGACTTCTTGGTCAATACCTTCAGGAAGTGAGCAGAGTGGGAATTCATCACTGTCTTTGTCTTTAGAAAAATGAGTATCTAGTGGAGCCTCCCCAGTTCTTGTACTTTCAATTCTTCCAGATGGTAGAAAATCCCAATTTGTTTCTTTGTCTTTGGAAAAATCCTCCATATGACTGTCTTTCATTTTCTAGAACACAAGAATAACAGAGTAATTTAAGATATCTGCTACTTTTAAATATTCATGCTGATGAAGAGTATTATAGCCATTATCTGACCAACATGTTTCTAACCTACTCAATAATTTCATTCCTTTTGGTCAGTTCCAAACAACTAGAGATGATAAACCCACCACAATTAGTCACACTATTGTGTGCATCTTTATTCACAATTCTAGGGAGAGATTTCCTTCCTAGATAGCACTGAGCCAGAAGATAGATAAGTGTTTGGAAACTTAGAAAGTACCTTAGCAATTGTGTTTTCAAATTTACAGTTCTGTGAATAAAGGAATGGTAACCTAGAAAAGTAAATGATTCACCTACGGGTATCTAAAAAATATGTATGTTAGAGCATCAAGGGCTGGTTTTCTCCAAATCCCTATTCTGAAGTGTAACATTTAACAGAAAGAAAAAAATATATTTCTATGGTAAAATCTCAACATCAAAATGAAGATATAATATTGTTTATATCTACATAAAATAAAAATTTAAAAACACCTTCAGTTCTAATTTGCATAATTTTTCTATGTAATTTTTTTAAAGATTTTTATTTATTTTTATTGAGAGGAGAGAGAACGGTAGAGAGAGAACATGAGAGGGAAGAAGGTCAGAGGGAGAGGCAGACTCCCTGCCGAGCAGGGAGCCTGATGTGGGACTCGATCCTGGAACTCCAGGATCATGACCTGAGCCGAAGGCAGTCGCTTAACCAACTGAGCCACCCAGGCACCCTCTATGTAAATTTTTCACTTAAATTTTCCCTCTAGTTTTAAGCACCATGAAAATGTATACACAATCAAATATAACTCAGGAAACATCAACACAACAGTAACTGCAAAAAAAAGTAAAAGTAGAAGAGGTCTGGGACACTATATTTACTGTATGCCAGACATGTACAAGGTACTTTCGCTTATGTTTACCTCTCTAATACCACTATAAAGACTTATAATTCTGATTCTACCAAATAAGAGGTAAAAAGTAAACTCCTTTTTAAATTTCAGTTAATAAAGGGAATAAAAAGGGCCACAGGAAAAAAAGTAATTTGAAGAGGGCACTGATTCACTATTTCTGTAACAGGATCCTGTTCTCATTTTAAACTGAAATGTAAACGAAAATATTACTGAAATTATACTGATTAAACATTAAAACAAAGAAAATAATAAAAACATTTTGAATTAAGAGTTAATTGTAGGCAAGCACAATTTAGTAAAATATGATTATTTTTTTAAAGCATCCCATATTTAGTAACTAGAGTTTTGCTAGATGGCCATAAATATAAGGTTTTGTTTTAGTCACTTGGAAATATGACCGGCCTCTGCTTCTTTACTGCCACACTCTTAATTTCTACAATTGTAGAATGAGTAGTCATATATCAATCTTGTTATCAAAATTCAATGTAATTTCAAAACCAAGAAAATTTACTTTTTTTGTTTTTTTAGATTTTATTTATTTATTCGACAGAGCGAGGGTGCACAAGCAGGGGGAGCAGCAGGCAGAGGGAGAAGCAGGCTTCCTGCTGAGCAAGAAGCCTGATGCGGGGCTCAATCCCAGGACCCTGGGCCCATGACCTGAGCCGAAGGCAGACGCTTAACCAACTGAGCCACCCAGGCGCCCTGAAAATTTAAATACTTTAACAAAAACATTGGGGGGATGCTGGTAGCTTATATATAAATTAATAGACAAAAAGATTTTATTTCCAGTATCTAGAAATATTTTCATATTTATTAGGTAATCATCATATTCCTGTTGCTATAAAATGCTTTAACACCTCCAAAACAAGGAACCTCCATAATGGTTTTCTCTTTTATCCAGTGATGCTTGTTTTCTTCTTAGATCACAGTACAGTACACTTGTGGCTAGCAACCATAATATGAGAGGTAATATACACAAGTAAGTCATTCAAACAATATCATCCAAAAGACTCTCTAAATTATATCAATGAAACACAAACTTAGATTTGTAATTTAACCACATAAATCCAACAAGAGTGTACTTACAAAACTGCGCTTGCCAGACCGTGAAGTTGTTGATAATGATGGTGTTAAATAATAATCAATAGTTCCTTTCTTAGCAGTATTTAATGCTTTAAGGTTGCAGAGGCACACACTTAAAAGGGTAAGATGAAACGGCATCTTCACATTCACCATATTTCGAAAAAGTTTCATAAGTATATCAACCATTGGGGTCATCACATCGCAATTTCCTAAACAAAATGTTTGAGAAGACTGTATCTAAGCACATTATGTCATAATTAATATTAAAAGCTTAATCTAATTTATACTGCTTAGATTAAGAAGTTAAAATCCTCAACAGATATCACTGGGACATCCTGACAGTATATACTACACTATGACAATCTCAACACTAATACTAAATGCCAAATAAGGTAAAGTTTTCAAATGATTTGAAATATGGGGCTTCCAGTTATGGGAGTGTGATCAGGTTAGAATATCTCCCCATAAAACTATAATAAAACTGGAAAACATTGTCAAGAACAACCATTTTGAGGATCTGAAAATGGACCAAAGGCAAATAAATTGAGAAGCACTGATTTGTAACAGCTAGTAGAACTTAGATGAGAAAAGAGGAGACAGCAGCCTTACTCGCTGGGGTTGTTCATATCTTGCTCTATGCAGTAGTCCTGCCAGGGTGAGGCTGGCTGTGAGAGCCAGTAGCTTTGCTGTCAGAAAGGACAGACTTGATTTGAGGCAGAGGGCAAAAGCCCATACCCAGCAGTGTTTGCAGTAAAGTGAATAAACTTGGTAGGAAGCAACTGGAGAAATCACACAGCTCTCTAGCCTGAGGTTGCAGTTGTGGCTGGAGTGAGTAAAAAATCAGTGGATGAGCCATAAATTTAACCAGGAGATCTGGAAATGAGAGAACCATAGAGGGACTGGATAAGCTCTCCTCACAACCCCAGCTGACTGGGAGACTGCACGCACATGGAGGGGAGGGGATAGAAGGCCCAAGCTCTCTACACATCGCGGACGGGAACGGCAGCAAGCATACATGGACGATGCAAGAAGGCTACAGAAAATAAAAGCCAAGGCAGAGTTGAAAATGGCCTAAATTTTGAAAGCACTCTCCAACCCATGCACTTGTCTATTGACAGAAGGCACAAGCCTTTCAGGCTCTAGCATTTGAGCAAAAGCTTTGACCAGTCTTCGGCTAACCACTAAACTATGCAGACACAGGGGTAAGGAAGCCAAAATAAAAAATTTAAATTAAAATTAAAAAAAAAAAAAGAAAGCTAAGCAGAGAAATCAGAGGCTACACATCACAGGGGACGTAGATTCTGCAGCTTAAGTTCAGGCAGGTTAGAAAAGGAAAAGAAAGAAAAAAAAAAGCCCACAAGAAGAAAATTCAAATCCAGAGTTGCTAAAATACATTATCTAAAATGTCCACTTTTCAATAAAATATTATAATATATGAAGAAACAGGAGTGTGAGTCTAGTGAGGAGGAAACAGCAGTCAATAGAAATTGACTTTGAGTTGGATTTAGCAGACTTCAAAGTTGCTACTATAGATATGTTCAAAAAATTAACAGGACACCTTGGTGGCTCAGTGGGTTAAGCCTCCAACTCTTGATTTCAGTACAGGTCGTGATCTCAGGATCCTGAGATTGAGACCTGAGTCAGGCTCCACACTCAGCAGGGAGTCTGCTTCTCTCTCTCTCCCTCTGTCCCTTTCCCCATTCATGCATGTGTGCTCTGTATCTCTCTCTCTCTCAAATAAAAAACAAAATCTTTAAAAAAAAAAGAATTAAAGAAAACCATTTTAAATAATTAAAGTAAAATATGAGGGGTGCCTAAGTGGTTCAGTCAGTTAAGCATCTGACTTGGTTTTGGCTCAGGTCATGATCTCATGGGTGGTGGGATCAAGCCTGCATTCGGCTCCACACTCACCAGGGAAGCTGCTTGAAGATTCCCTCTGCCCCTCTCCCCATCTCACTCCCTCTCTCTCTCAAGCACAGGGAGAAGCAGGCTTCCTGTTTCTATATTTATTTATACCTCAAATAAATAAATAAATAAATCTTAGAAAAAGTAAAAATAAAAAATAAGTGAAATGATAACAACTACCAAAAGAGAAGAATCTCGTAAGGAAACAGACTCATACAAACAAACCAAATGGAAAGTCTAGAGTTAAAAAGTACAGTAAACAAAATAAACAAATAAAATCACTAGATGGGCAATGCCAGCTTTGAGATGACAGCTGAATCAAGAGAACTTGAAGACAGCTCAATAGAAATTATCCAATCTTTGGGTGCCTAGCAGGCTCAGTCGGTAGAACATGCGACTCTTGATTTCAGGGTTGTAAGTTCAAGCCCCATGTTGGGTGTAAAGATTATTTAAAAAAAAAATCCTTTAAAAAAAATTATCCAATCTAAAAAGAAGAGAAAAAAGACTGAAGAAAAATGAACAGAATTGCACACACCTTTAGGTTATTATCAAGCATACCAACATATGTGAAATGAGATCCCAGAGGAGATGAGGGGAAAAAAGGGGCAAGAAAGACTATTTGAAGAAATAAGAGCCTAAAACTCCCCAAATTTCATTAAAAAATTAATCTACAGAATCAAGTAGTTCAATAAATCCAGAGAAAGATAAACACAAAGATTCCACACTTAGACACATCATGGTCAAACTGATGAGAGACAAATGACTCATCAATAAAAGAGAATAACAATACAACTATCATTATAGTGCAGTACCACTCAGCTCCAAATTCACCCTTCAGTACCTGCTCTGTGATAATGCATTGCACTCTAAAATTTTTCACATTGAATATGATGTTACACCTTGTCATTAAAGAACACTGGAAGACCAGGAAGATTCTCTTCCTGGTCCAGGAACCTGGTTCCTGGTTCCATTAATTTCCAATGTACTATTATTTAATTTTGCTTTCTCCCATTACATGGTTTGTTTGTAGTACATATGTGTGGGGACACCTGAGAGTACTTTCTATACCACATACATGTGGAACACTCAGTCCCTTAGCAACCTCGAGCCCCAGCTTGAGCTTAGTGACTCTGTACCATGGCACTACCAACTTAAACACCATACATAGCAGGACAGTGCCCCCACTCATTCTGCACACCCACCTAATAGCCTTGACTTGCCTCTATCTCACGAGGTTGTTTCCTCCAGGTCTTCCTATGCAGGCACCATACTTTCCACCTTTGCACTAGCAGAATACAGATACCTTCAGCACAACCACCCACCAGCCTCAGCTTACCTGCATCCTAAAGGGTTGTTAACAGAAGTCTTCCCAATACGAACACTGCATGCTCCAACCCATGCACTGCCTCAACAATGAGCAAGCTCCCAACATCCCAACTCCTTCTGTGTGCCCACCAACCAGCCTCAGCTCACCCACAGATCAGAGGATGGTTTTTCTCTTTGTCCAATAACTATGGACCAGCTCTGGGCCAGGTAATTCAAAAGATTTCTCCACCACCCACTGTTCTACAACCACACCTTCTCCTTAAGGGGTAGAGGGACTCTCCTTTCTAAGTTTGTCCTTCCTTGGGTGCTTTTCCTCAGCCCTTGGGTACCCCTTAAGAGTCCTCTTTATACTTTTATAGTCACTCCTCTAACATGGTTTAATAATTCTGTGGAACTTTCTCTATTTAAATTTTTGTGTGGTTATTCTCTCCTGATTGGAAGGAGACTGATAAAACTATTAAGAGCTGACTCCTCATCATAAATAATGGAAACCAGAAGACAACAGAATGGTATATTCAAAGTAGGGAAAGAAAAAGAGTCAAGAATTCTTTTTTTTTTTTAAAGATTTTATTTATTTACTTGACAGAGAGAGACACAGCGAGAGAGGGAACACAAGCAGGGGGAGTGGGAGAGGGAGAAGTAGGCTTCCTGCAGAGCAGGGGGCCCAATGCGGGGCTCAATCCCAGGACCCTGGGATCATGACCTGAGCCGAAGGCAGACGCTTAATGACAGAGCCACCCAGGTGCCCCTACAGTCAAGAATTCTATATCCAGACAAAGTGCCATTCAAAAATGCTATATTGGAGTCTTTCATAAATTTTAGTTAGGTAGAATGGTGTGATAGTGATGCTCAACTCTTCTTTTCAAACATAACTGGTGCATTTTCCAGGATAGACCATATGCTAGACAACAAAATTACACTCAATAAATCTAGACAGCCTGAAATTACTCAAAATATGTTCTCTGATCAACATGAAATTAAAGTAGAAATCAACAACAGAATGAAATTTGGGAAATCATCAAATATTTGGAAATTAAACAACAAATTTCTAAATGAGCTTAGGGGTCAAAGAAGAAATCACAAGGGATATTAGAAACGATTTTGACCTTAATGAAAAGGAAATAACAACAAATGTTATGGAATGCAGCTAAAGCACCAATAAAAGGAAATGTATCACTTTAAACTTGAATTATTAGAAAATAAGTTAAGTATAAAACAAATAATATAAGCTTCCATCTTAACAAACCAGAGAGAAAAGGACAAATTAAACTAAAGCAAGCAGAAATAAATTAAAGACAGAGCAGAAATAAATGAAATAGAAAGTAGAAAAACAACAGAAAAATCAATGACACCAAAAGTTGGCTCTTAGAAAAAGATCAATAAAACCTTTGAGTGAGGCCTCACTCAGATAAACCTTTGCTAGAATGATAAAGAAAAAACGAGAACACATGCATTACCAAAATCAGGAATGAAAGAGGAGACATCACTATAGATCCTACAAAAATTAGAAAGATAATAAGGCAATATTGACAACTTCATGCCAACAAACTAGACAACTTGAATGAAATGGATACATTCCTAGAAGATAAAAGTTACCAAAACTGATTCAAAATAAATAGAAAATTTGAATAAACTTACAATAAATAAAAAATCAAATTCCTATTTTAAAATCTTCCTATAAACAAAAGCCCAGGACCATGAATAGCCAAACAAATTCAAAACAGAACAAAGCTGGAGAACTTACACTATTTAATTTCAAAACTTATAACAAAGTATCAGATAGGGTGGAACTGATATAAGGATAACCACATAAATCAATGAAATAAGAAAATCAAGAAGTAAACTTCTTTAGAGTCAATTAGTTTTTGACAAAGGTGCCATGACAATTCAAGAAAGAATAATCTGTTTAACAAATTCTGTTGGAACAACTGGATATCCACATACAAAAGAATGAACTAAGCCTCTTATCTTACACCATACACAAAAATTTACTCAAATTAGATCAAGTGTAAAGCTTAAAACTATAAATTTCTAAAAGAAAACACAGGAGGAAATATCTGTGACCTTTGAGTTAGGCAAAGAATTTTTAAATAAGACACCAAAAGCATTATCCATAAAAGAGAAAAAAAAACCACAAACACAATGAAATACCACTGCAAGGCCACAAGAATGACGATAATAAAGTAAACTGACAATATTAAGTGTGAAAGAGAATATGAAAGCCCGGAACCCTCATACATTCTTGGTAAGAATGTAAATGGTTATACTCACTTTGGGAAAAAGTTTGGTAGTTTCTTAAAGTTCAACTTACCATATAACCCAGCAATTCCACTTTTTGTAATCCACCCAAGATAAACAAAAACATGTATCTGCCCAATGACTTGCATACAAATATTCATAGCACCATTTTTCATAATAGCCAAAAAATGGAAACAATCTAAATGCCCATAGAGAAGTTATCTTGTGCCATAAAATACATTCTCTATTAAACAACAACAAAGTTTTCCTGTAAAAATTCCTGATAGAATGAAGGTATTTAATAGCTCACTAACTCCCTGTGAAGATCCTCCATCTTTGGATCATATTTCTAATTCAAAGTTTGTTTTTTTAAGAGTTCAACCTGTCAGGCACCTGGGTGGCTCAGCTGGTTAGGCCACTGCCTCTGGCTCAGGTCATGATCCGGGAGTCCCAGGATCAAGTCCCCCATCGGGCTCCCAGCTCAGCGGGGAGTCTGCTTCTCCCTCTGACCCTCTCCCCTCTCATGCTCTCTCTCACTCTTTCTTTCTCCCAAATAAATAAATAAAATCTTAAAAATTAAAAAAAAAAAAGATTTAAAGGGTTCAATTTATTAGAAAATTAGCCCATACCTGTCCCTAACTTCTGAATCACATGAGATGGAATAGGGCACTGACGACTCTCACGGCTACAGTGATTCTCAGATGAATACCGACGGATTATTAATCTGATTGTATGTGGCTTCCTTCCATCTTGGCATACTCTAAAAGGAAAGAGAAAGGAGAGTTTTTTTTTTTTTTTATCTATAGAGGTATCAGATTTAGTAACCATAACAATTATAAATATGGTTGATGACTAGGCAGTAAGCAATAAAAGTCTCTGAATAGCCCAAAGAAATTTCACCACATCTATGCACCAAAGCGCTAAAATCTTAAATGTAAGGTCTCAGGTAAAATTCAGAATTGAGTGCAATCAGGAAAAGAACAGAAATAAGATATAATTATAACAAGTCATTTTATAATCCAAGTCCAAACATAACTAAAAGCAACATATAAAATCGGCAGGAAATTAAAGAAACTAAGGGACTCCTTCACCGGCAGAGGCAAAAACATGAAAAATGACAGATTCTTTTTACACAGGAAAAAAAATAAGATTACAAAAAGAAAAAAAAATTTTAAATGAGGTAACTTTTGTCCACAAGCACTCCCTGAATAGACCTAAAGAACAGTAATATCACCATTATATGGCAAATAAGAGTAATAGCTTGAACGATCAATTATATACTATATTTAAGTAGTACATGTACAGGCATCTTAAAAAGTGTTCCATTCAAATGGTCTTGGTTTCAGTGTTGAAAACAAAAGTTTTAACAAAATAGAAAATTCACTTAAAAAGCAGAAAATCTAATTACTAGAATAAATGTCATTAAAGTAATATTTTATTTTTTATATGTATGGCAATGCATTAAAAAATCACAAACAAAATAAAAATATTGTACATTGTTAAACATATTGAAGATTTTGAACTGGAAAATTTGGGTTTTTATAAATGATTTTTTTCTTTATTGCTTTATCACAAAACGTCTTGATTGCTGCCTAAGATAATATCTTATGTGGTTCCTGTAAACATGTTATTAGTTTAAATATCTTCCAGTTAACCTTTTTCTATTAAGTCATTATACAATTTAAAGAGTATTACTTGGTTCCTATAACTAATTAAGACATATTAGGAAAAGGTTATATTCTAAGCAAGCTTAAACTAGAGGGAAAACACATTCACACAAACACAATCTTCTTTTTGCCAGTCACTTTGATGGTATTATACCTCAGTCACTGAAATAAGGGGCCATGGTGTAGAAAGGGAATGGAAAGCAGAGATGAGGATAAATGGTTCATAGTTGGTCATTTACAGGTTTAGAGCACCTAGCCTCATTTCTGGGTTGATGCTTCAAATATAAGAGTCTATGAAATTGTGGTTTCTCTGCATGCAGAACTCTTTCCAATGGCCAGGCATTTCATAGTAGTCTCACATTTAGCTGAAGCAGAGCAGATGACCCAGTTTCAGAAGCACACTCACAGGCCCAGCCTGAGTTACATCACTGGAGCTGGGTCATTCAGCAAGCCCCCGTTGCACACAGCAAATGATGAGCTGCACGGCTCTGCGCAAGACATGAGAACCACAGAGCATGTGAGAGCAAAGCTGTAGGAAATTTTACCTCATCGGTTTACTGAGACTTAGTCATCTAAAAATCTTTTTCTCTAGTCATAGCCATCTTACACTCATTTACAGAAGTACAGCTACTCAAAACTGTTAGACCCTTGACACCTTATTTTGAGTAATCAAAGAAATGGGAGGAAAAGAGAGAATACTCTTCTATGGAACACTGAGAAATAGATATAGGATAGTAAAGGAGCATCAGAAAACTAAACATCTTGCTCAGTTTACGCTATGCTATTCATACACTCATAATCCCAGCTGATGTGTTCATGTACTTACAGACCAGTGCCCTGCACACACCACACTCTGACTGCTCACACACAGCCCCACTGACCTATTCCTTTGTCTGAGTCCATTTTCTTTTGCATAGTCTGAGGCAAAGGAGATAATGAGGTTCTTCTACTTTCTCCATCACTGGTGTCTTCATAATTTCCTATCCTCAATCATCACAAATCTATAGGTGTAGAGATTCTAGATATCCTTAACACCCTCTTAGGTAACTGTGAGCAGCTTAAGAGCCACAGTATAACCACAATGTTACCAAAATTAAGACTAATGGGAACAAATGAATTAAATTTAGTTAAGAGCACCTGTTACTATCTTTGCAATAGTTTATAATGTAGAGAAACTCAATGATAAATGATCTCTCTTTACACTGTTCAGTCTCCAGTTAGTCTGTAAGTTTCAAGACAGAACATCAACTATACTTTCCATATATTTCATACAGTATAGAATGATAAGGCAAAATGGAAAATCACCTGTTCAAAAGACTGGCAAGTAGTTCTTCAATCTTATTTTTAGCTTCGACTTCTGATGAACATTTTTTAAATGAATCTTCCTCACTAAAGGACTACCAAAGAAGCACAAATAGGTATTATTGTAAACCCAAACAAGCATATCCAGTTATGAGTGCGCATGCCAAATATTCAAACATTCTTTACTAACTTCCCTCTCGTGCTTAATTTGAGCCGTTTAGTTCACTTTTATATTAACTCTTTTTTATCTGCAAGTTATTGTACTCCACTAGAAAGTCAAAACTAGGGGCGCCTGGGTGGCTCAGTTGGTTAAGCGACTGCCTTTGGCTCAGGTCATGATCCTGGAGTCCCGGGATCGAGTCCCATGTCGGGCTCCCTGCTCAGCAGGGAGTCTGCTTCTCCCTCTGACCCTCTTCCCTCTCGTGCTCTCTATCTCTCATTCTCTCTCTCTCAAATAAATACATAAAATCTTTAGGAAAAAAAAAAGATTTGAAAGTCAAAACTATAAAGTTCTAGTACCAACTCCAAGCTTTATTCTACGATTACAGTGAGGTTCTTAATCTCCTAGCACTTGAAATTGAGTTTAACCTTGGACACATTATTTAACCTTTCTAAAGTACAGTATCTTATCTTTAAGAAAAGAACAGGAGAGAGGGAAAAGGTATGAACAAATAATAGAACAAAAAATAGCTACCTTGAAGCTTTGTTGTGAAGATAAATGGACTAAGGTATATAAAGCACTTAGTAAAGTGCCTGTCACATAGGAAAAAAAAATCAATCGATGTTGACTAGGTGATTATACCTGTCCCCATTTCCTAAATCATTAGACTAATTGGCAAACAATATTTCTTAAAAATTAAAATATTTTGCCAAATGTATGCAATATAGGCTGTTAAAATTAAGTGATATTTAATCAAGGTAGCTAACTTGAGACAGAAATACTATTTCTTAGATCCAATTTAAAAATATTTACTAATCTAGGGACGGCTGGGTGGCTCAGTCAGTTACGCATCCAACTCTTTTTTTTTTAAAGATTTATTTATTTGACAGAGAGAGACACAGCGAGAGAGGGAACACCAGCAGAGAAAGTGGGAGAGGGAAAAAGCACGCTCCCAGCGGAGCAGGGAGCCCAATGCAGGGCTCAATCCCAGGACCCTGAGATCATGACCCGAGCTAAAGGCAGATGCTTAACGACTGAGCCACCCAGGCACCCCAGCATCCAACTCTTGATTTCAGCTCAGGTCTTGATCTCAGAATCATTAGTTCAAGCTCCAGCATGGAGCCTACTTAAAAAAAATTTACTAACCTGGGGCACCTGGGTGGCTCAGATGGTTAAGCAGCTGCCTTCGGCTCAGGTCATGATCCCAGAGTCCTGGGATCGAGCCGCACGTCAGGCTCCCTGCTCAGTGGAGAGCCTGCTTCTCCCTCTCCCTCTGCCTGCTACTCTGCCTACTTGTGCTCTCTCTATCCCTCTGTCAAATAAATAAAATAAAATCTTAAAAAAAAATTTACTAACTTAATAAATTAGCCTTCTCATAGGAAAGAGATCATATACTAACCTAGTAAGCAAATCAGAAAAGAACATAATACTAAAACCAGAAATTTTTATCTCAAATAGTGACAAACAGTACTCAATTAAAATAAATATCATTATCATGTACCTGAGGTGGTCCTGAGGGCGTCACAGGTGAGTTATCTTCTCCAAAACTGAGCTTCTGGATACGCTGAGCAACTGAAATTCCTAACTCCTTTTCTAATATTTTGGGTGAAAAGGTTTGAAGATCAAGCACACTACTGATACCCAGCGCTTCAAGACGTTTGGCAGTTTTATAGCCAATACCTAGACAAAAAGAAATACAGTGTTACAGTAGTTTTTCTCCTTAAAGCTAATTAAAATATTATAGAGATATACCAAAAACATCCTTAAATTCCATGATGAATATTTTGCTAGGACTAAATTTTATTGAAAATTAGGCTGTCCTTCTTCCGCTCAGGGCCTCTTAAATGAACCACTTTGAAAACCTCACAACCCTAGTACAACATAATGAATATGGAGACAACCAATAAATGCTGTCTTGATAAAATGAAATGTTTACCACCTGTTACATAATACTCTGGAAGTATTCAAGAATAAGGGTTACTATTCATGCAAAGAAAGACTGTCACTACAGCAACAAAATTAATTAGCATGTGCTAATCAGCTAACCTGACTCCTACCTATAATATCACACATTTATCCACAAGTCATATTTGGCAATATTTACTATCCCAAATATAAGAACCAGAAAGCAAACAAACAAAAAAACCTACTCATTAACAAAACTATCAAAAGTTCTTGCACTAAAACTCAGTCATACTTTATCACCTTACCTGAGATGATCAGGTAATTTAGTGTCCCTTTATTTCTCTCATTTAAAAAAAATTTAATTTTACAGTATTTTGATCTTCCTGTATAGTAAAAGAAGTAAATCAAAGGCAATGGATGGGGAGGAGAAATGTTTTTTTTTTAAGATTTATTTATTGGGGCACCTGGGTGGCTCATTCGGTTAAGCGTCTGCCTTCGGCTCAGGTCATGATCCCGGGGTCCTAGGATCGAGCCCTACATCGGGCTCCTCGCTCAGCGAGAAGCCTGCTTCTCCCCTGCCTGCCATTCCCCCTGCTTGCACTCACTGTCTCACTCTCTCTGTCAAATAAATAAATAAAATCTTAAAAAAAAAAAAAAAAAAGAATATGAAGCAGGGATTGGAAATAAAGGACTGTGATTCCAGGTTATAACTTTCACGATCATAGTCAAACTATACAAAAAGTAGGTGAAACTAGAAAAGTACTTTCATAGATTTCCTAATCCAGATTCCCTCTAGAGAACATTAGGGTTTTGTGTTTTCTCCAAGAGCCAAGTATACAGACTCTAAGAATTAATAACATGTATCTATAATTTTTAAAATTAAAGAAATACAATAAAACTAATGTATATTTTTCAACTATAAACGTCTTACCAGGCATTTCCTTTACATGGCTCAAGCTCTGAATGAGAACTTGAGAACTTTCAGGTAATAACACTGTTTGCTGATTTGGTTTAAAAATACCAGAAACTAATTTTGCCAGTAATTTATTAGAAGCGACTCCAGCACAGCCAGTGAGACCCAGTTGATTATACATGGCTTCCCGCATCTCTGCTGCAATCTGAGATCCAACAAGTAGTCTGATGTGCACGATGTCATGCAGGTTTATATCTATAAAAACAGCCAATATCATTAAGTCACCACAAAAATTTTAATTTTCTTTTTTACAAATGAGTTTAAAAAGGGCACAGGGCTGGGGCGCCTGGGTGGCTCAGTAGTTACATGTCTGCCTTCGGCTCGGGTCATGATCCCAGGGTCCTAGGATCAAGCCCCGCATCGGGAGGCCTGCTTCTCCCTCTCCCACTCCCCCTGCTTGTGTTCCCTTTCTCGCTCTCTGTCAAATAAATAAAGATCTTTAAATAAATAAATAAATAAATAAAAAGGGCACAGGGCTTAACCTATATCCAACCCCCCCCCGACCACCACCATACTGTCACCCATTTAATTCATCTCTCTCATTCTTCATAGGAATCCTGTAAAGTAAATAACTTCCAAAAGTGAATTCCAAGTGCCTGTGATAGTGAATGCATCCTGGGAGTGCTTAATGATTAACAGATTATGAAAACTGATGTCTCATAAAAAAAATTCCTACTGACACTAGTAAAACTTTTACTTGTGTTTAACTGTAAGCAATCATAAAAGTAGAAGTATTATGCTAATAACAGAGCTAACATTACAGCTTTAAAGATCTGAATCTAAACTTTACACACACTAGCTATATGTGCTACTGTAAATAATTCTGAGTCTGTACATAGTTTAAGAGATCTTCTATGAAAAGTGTAGGGAAATTATACAGAAACAAATTTTCTTAGGGGTGAAAATGGTATTAGAATTATATGAGACTTGGGCGCCTGGGTGGCTCAGTTGGTTAAGCGACTGCCTTCGGCTCAGGTCATGATCCTGGAGTCCCAGGATCGAGTCCCACATCGAGCTCCCTGCTCAGCAGGGAGTCTGCTTCTCCCTCTGACCCTCCCCCCTCTCATGTGCTCTCTCTCTCTCATTCTCACTCTCTCAAATAAATAAATAAAATCTTTAAAAAAAAAAAAAAGAAGAATTATATGAGACTTGGGACGCCTGGGTGGCTCAGTCAGTTAAGCGTCTGCCTTCGGCTCAGGTCATGATCCCAGGGTCCTGGTATCAAGTCCCCCATTGGGCTCCTTGCTCAGTGAGGAGCCTGCTTCTCCCTCTCCCTCTGCTGCTCCCCCTGCTTGTGCTCTCTCTCTCTGACAAATAAATAAAAATCTTTAAAAAAAAAAGAATTATATAAGACTGTCCTTATCCTCAGGAATATTTACAGATGAAGTGTCATGATGTCTGTAATTTACTTTTAAATGGCTCATCAACCAACCAATCAATCAAGAGGAAGCAAGATAAAGTAAATGTAGGAAAATAACAATGGGTGTATCTACAAGGAATGGCATAATAAGTGTTCTCACTGTACTACTCAACTTTTTTGTAGGTTTGAAAAAATTGTTTAACATCTTGTGAGGAAGGATTCATGAAGAATCAGACATTTTCTTTTTAGAATATAAAACCTAGATCTCTGTATTATGTTCTAACAAATACTGAATTTGCTTTAAAAATTATAAAGAAACAGAACCTTCTTCTATTCAGTCCCTATAAGTGACAAAAGAGCAGATCCAAAGGACACATGAAAAGCTTCGTGTCCTCTTCTAGAAGAGAACTGTAGCTCTACCCCTTTTCTTCTTTAGCATCAGGATGGCAGAGAACTAGACTGGAGATGGATCACTAGCTCTCAAAAAAGGAGGCTAAGAGGACACATATGCTGAGACCTAGGCCAAGAAGGTCAGGGCAGATCTTATACAAAAGCAGACTGGCATGTCTTCCATGTGGTATGATATGGAAGTCACCAGCAGAGTTACAAGAGGTTTTAAAGTCTAAAAGATATTCACTGGGGCTTATTGAAGCTTATTTTCAAAAGCAAATATCTCTGGAAATTCCATCAGTCATTTATATTTTAATATGTGAAGGAGATGGACCATTCTGTTTTCTTGCTAATAGTTGGCAAAGATTATCAAACTGACTGAATATGAGTTTGCAAAAGATGGCAGGTAGGCCTGGACAAGCTTCCACAGAGGTAACTCAGGAACTTAAAGAGCAACATGAGTGATGCCTGGGGGAATAGAAAGGAACAAGCAAAAGATGCAACAAAGGACAAATTTAGTTTACCTCAAAATTTTGCTTAAAGACAGCTTTGGAAGAAGCAAAAATTATTCTAAAAAGTATATTATTAAGGCAACTCTTATAACTAAAGGATGACCTAAGGAAGTATGGCTCTCAAAAATGGTAACACACAAACTGTGTCAGAGAAATGAAAAGTGCATGGACCACTGAGCTACATACACATGTCATCAAAATCTCACTTTCTGCCTACTTAATATGGAACAGCAATACTAATTTTAGTCATTTGAGACAGGTCACTGAAATATGGCTATACCTCCAACAAAAGCCATAAAATTTTCAGAAAGATAAAGTCAACTCATTGAACTCATTGAATTCAGTGAACATTAAAAAATGTTGGTACTTTGAGTTACTAAATAGAGTAAGAACACACTTACACTGATTATTATATACATGACCCGACCCAGTCAGTGCTGAAAGTTCATCACTTTGAAGCTGCTGTAGTCTCTTCTCAACCATTTCTGTTAGATCCACAAAATTTTCATCAAATCCAAGTCTCTCAACAACTGGACTAAATTCTTCCAGCAACTCTAAATTGAAATAATATTGGCGCACAGATGTTAACTAAAGTCATAACTGAAGTGGATTTAACTATTTTATGCTGAAAAATACGTCACATATGTTAAAGGCTTTACATATATTCAGTTCCACAATATCTTTAATAAAGTCCCCCATTAACCAGATTTTTTTCCTATACCACATTTTGAGTAAAGGCAATATTTTCCAACAAAATAAGTCCAAAATGACATTCCCTGGACAGATGCTTATAGCAATATATTTAGCTCAATCTCCTATACCTATAATTTCTATACCTGTAGTACATTATATATCAATGCTTATAGTTCATTATGATTTTGAAACAGTGGTTCCAAAGAGTAAATTACAATCAGCCTAGAAAAGCAGAGACGAGTAATAATACACTCTACCTGTATTTTCCACAAGTCTTAAAAAGACAAAACAAATAAAATGTAAAACTTCCGGGGCATCTGGGTGGCTCAGTGGATTAAGCATCTGACTCTGGCTCGGGTCATGATCTCAGGGTCCTGGGATCCAGCGTCAGGCTCCACATTCAACAGGGAGTCTAGTCTGCCTCTCCCTCTGCCGTTCCCCCCACTACTACATGCATGTGCTCTCTCTCTCTCAAAAATATAAACAGAACTTCCAATTATTGGGGCACCTGGGTGGCTCAGTCATTAAGCGTCTGCCTTCGGCAGGTCATGATTCCAGGGTCCTGGATCGAGCCCCGCATCGGGCTCCCTGCTCAGCAGGAAGCCTGCTTCTCCCTCTCTCACTCCCCCTGCTTGTGTTCCCTCTCTCGCTGTGTCTCTCTCTGTCAAATAAATAAATAAAATCTAAAAAAAAAAAAACAAAAACCCCACAAACTTCCAATTATTACTAAATCAAAAAGAAAAGTCACTTTGACCTAGAAATTAAAAAGCTCTAAGAACTTATGTCATGGATATCTTCATAAAAGTATGCCAAAATTTCTATATGAAAATGTCTACTGAAGCATATATTTGGAAGAGCAAAAAGTAAGTAATAGCCAAATTAATCCATCACTATCAGGAAACCATGTAATTTATCATCCAACATAAGACAGTTTTTGAATGAAAAGAAGTGCTTTAATAATTATGTAGGGATAACAGGAATAAAGTGGGACACACTGTCTTCATATCACTAAAGGACTGGTTAAATGAGTATGGAACAAAATACAATGTATTACTACGCAGGCATTAAAAAGAATGAGGAAGGGCGCCTGGGTGGCTCAGTTGGTTAAGCGACTGCCTTCGGCTCAGGTCATGATCCTGGAGTCCCGGGATCGAGTCCCGCATCGGGCTCCCTGCTCAGCAGGGAGTCTGCTTCTCCCTCTGACCCTCCCCCCTCTCATGTGCTCTCTCTCTCTCATTCTGTCTCAAATAAATAAATAAAATCTTTAAAAAAAAAAAAAGAATGAGGAAGAGCTAGTATGAAGGATATGAGAGATCACCAAGAGGAACAACTGTATGTATAACCTCTTCTGTGTAAAGATTAACTTCTTAATATTCAGACACATACAATTTTGCATGTATGCACAAGTGATATTTTCAGAGTATAGTCTTATCTTTGCTTGGCTACCCCTTCTTCTCCCTTCTCCCATTTCACCATGCTCTCTCCAGAAGTTAATTAATGTTAAAAACCTAGTATACATACTTTCATGTTTCCCTTCCTATTTATATACAGGCATATATATATGTGTAAAGGAAGGGGTTTGGGCCATTGTTTTACACATATGGAACAATATGACATGTTTTTGCATCTTGCCTTTTACTCAACAAGGCATATCTCTCTGAGTCAAACAGTATAGCACCAATGCATTCTTTTTAATGGCTATATAATATTCCATCACAGAGAAGTCTTATTTAACCATTCTCATCCTGATGAACACTTGTTTTTATTTCATATTTTTATCATTTATGAACCATGCCACAAGAAATATTTTTGTACATATGTTCTCATTATTTTATTCCTATTGAATAAATTCCCAGCAGTAGTATCACAGGGTTAAAAAATATAGTATCTCTAATTTCAAAAAATGTTTCTATATCACTTTTGTAAATGTATAATATTTTGTTCCTACTTTCACATTATTTTTTGCAAGTATGATGGACATAAAATAATATCTACTTCAAATTTCCTTAGCTATTAATTTGAGTATTCTTTTTCCACATAATTGTGGGCACTGGGTTTGTTCTTTTTGTCAACTGCCTATTCATATCTTTCATCCATTTTTCTTAAGTATCTTTGTCTTGTAAACTTGTAAGGGCTTTGGGTATTATATTTAACACTTTCATCTGAAAACTGCTACAATTAAAAAAGAAGCAAAAACAAAGCAGAAAAGATAAACAGTTGATTCTTTGATTCTTATACTTTTTTAATTATATATATTTGCAATATACCAGTATAAATGTGTTTTCATTTTTCCTGTAATTTACTAAAACTCTAAGATTCAAACCCAAACCTTAATAGGGAAGAGTTTATCTATACTATAATATTTAGTCTGTGTGTGTGTGTATATGTATGTATACACACACATATATATACACATATATATATATACACACATACACAATCCAAGAAAAATTTAATATACCCATTATTTCTGCTAATAGTTCTTAACAAATCTAGTTTTTAATTATGTTAATCAAACATTACAGAAGCCTCTCCCAACTACTAGTGCATCAGAGTACAGATATTTCCTCATAATTCATTTAAACTTGTTGTTTAAATTTAAAATAAAATAAAAAAAATCGTTTACTTTCTTGCATTTATCTTTTGTATATCTTTCCATTTTCTTGCTTCCAAATCTTGTTTACATTTTTTCTCACATTTAACACATTTTTCTCACATATAAACACCAGTCACAAGAGACTTCAAATTTCTTCCAACTATACGTTTTTTTGGTCAACATTACTCATATAAAGCCATCCTCTTATATAAGATGTTTTTAAAAGCAGGCAAGATCCAAAATAAAAGTTATTAGCAAAAAGGGTGTGATTTATGGCATTTTACTAATTAAAAGTTTCATGTAGTAAATGAGCATCCTATATACAAATTAATGATGAAAGTATATTGTCCATGATCTGTACCTGTAACCTTATATGACATCTCTCTGTAACGAGTCAAATCTTCTCCATTAACTAATACCAGCTGTGGACATTTTTCTTTTGCATCTCTGACATTCATAAGTTTCTTAACTCCAAGTTTCCTAGCTTCATAGTTACAGGTAACCACCAAATATTTCTGCTGAACTCCTATAAAATAGCAAATATTTTATGAGAAAAGTGAGCAAGATTAAAGAAACATTTTAAAATAAAATTTACTAATTCCATATTATAATTGTAAATTGTAATGCAATCTATTTTGATTAAGAATAAAAAGCTCTATTCATTTGAAAAGCATAGCCTCCAGGGGCGCCTGGGTGGCTCCGTCATTAAGCGTCTGCCTTCGGCTCAGGTCATGATCCCAGGGTCCTGGGATCGAGCCCCGCCCTGCATCGGGTTCCCTGCTCTGCGGGAAGCCTGCTTCTCCCTCTCCCACTCCCCCTGCTTGTGTTCCCTCTCTGAGTCTCTGTCAAATAAATAAATAAAATCTTTAAAAAAAAAAAAAAGCACAGCCTCCATTCATCAAGGTTCTATGAAATTTAACAAAAATTATTATAAATCAGTATATTCTCTGGAGTCTTCAGTGAAAAGATACTTCTAGGATTTTTTTTTCAGACAATACAAACCAGATTAATTTATGTTGAATTAACTCTCTCTGTATAAAGTCTAGGCCATGTTTCACCAGAAAAATAAAGCAGATGAAAATAACAGAGTACAATTAATTACTGGTTTCTGCTAGAAAAACTTTCCAATGAATATAAAGCAATGTTCTGTTACAAGTGCTAACCTATAGTTATTATTAAAGATCTCCCCCCGATAAATGTAATTATTGAACTGTTCTTCACAGTAATTTGTAGAAAATATTAGTCAGCCATCATTAGTGAGCCTCCTCCTTATCAAAAATGATTAAATTATGATCATCTACAGACTGAAAACTCTAGCTTACTAGTGGTGGCTTAAGATTGCTGAAATTAATTTTCTCTTTACACAAGTTGACCACTTATCACTATAAAAGTAATGGTCATCTAAATGTAAAATACAAACATATAGAAGAAAAAAAAGGGTTATGTCCATTCCACCAATGTAAGACATAGGTTTCTAAAATGTTGATATTATAAACAGGGCAAAGTAATGTTATTTCACATAAAGATTTGTGATATATCAGATTATGCCCCAAAATAGAATCCCTAGGTCAAAAGTCGTAATTTAAGATTAATCAGTGAACTATATAGAAAATAGGATTGGTAACTTCCTCAACTAAAAAAGCAGTCTTTTAATACAGAATTAAATTATATGGACTCACCATTATATGTCACCAGCCCAACTTAAACACTCACACATTTGTTAAGCATAACTGAAAGACTACTTCTGCTTTCTCCCAGAAACTTTCAACATCACATTTCTCCCTTCCAGATAATCATTCATTCCTGTGTCTTAATTATACAATACTTTTTTATTGAGCATTATCTACATAGCATCTTGTGTTATAGTGCTACTAATTACAAATGCCTTTAGGAGAAAACTTATATCCTCTAATCCTAACTCCTTGACACCCATGGGAAATCTAAAGATCCTAGACTGATACTGGCATACCAAAAACTAGTCATCCCTTTGCTCTTCTTCAGTAAATCAACTAGGCTGGGTTGAACTGGGATTTATCAAAACCAAATGAGGCACAAGAGGTTAGCAGCAGGTGAACCAGAGTTGCTCTTTATGCTTATACTAAAAGATAAACTCTTGGGTGCCTGGGTGGCTCAGTTGGTTAAGCGACTGCCTTCGGCTCAGGTCATGATCCCCCGGGATCGAGTCCCGCATAGGGCTCCCCGCTCGGCAGAGAGTCTGCTTCTCCCTTTGACCCTCCCGCCTCTCATGCTCTCTCTCTCTCATTCTCTCTCAAATAAATAAATAAAATCTTTAAAAAAAAAAAAAAGATAAACTCTTACTACATGCATAAAAGAAAATTTGGAAATTTAAATGACTTTTCCAATTTAAGATATACATATAATAAAAATGTTAAAATAAGCCAACATATTAATAAGTAAATCTTCAACATAAAATTTCTCTTTGCCTTTTATTTAAAAAGATACTTTTTATTTATGGAAAACTCAATATGCCTTAAGTATTTAGGGGTCTATTCAAAATCCAACCTTTTTGTCATATGTTACACAATCCAAGAGTTAATTTCAAAAGTGGAGAGGACAGATGAAAATGTCCATTAGAATGTAATGACTTTTTTTTGTGATAAGAGGATTATAAAATTTCAACCACTGAGAACAAGATTAAAAGTTTATTATGGTCTTTCCGTTCATGTGGGTTCGCTGGCTATACTAGTTGTATAAAATTCACCATTTATTAAATAAGGCTTATACGTTTTACACCTGGTAGTGAAGCAAAGTTTACTGTCTATAAAGTACCTTGAGAACTGCTTCCAAAATCTTAAATATGGTTAATAAATCAGAATATAATCAACATAAAGGAATAGTTAATACTCTTATACAAAATGAAAATTATTATTAATGTCCAAAATTACCTAAAGGTTTGCCCTTCAGTTCCGGATTTGAAATCATTTCTACTTGTGCATAAAAGCAATCCAGATCCACGTGTACTATGACTCTGGATGAAGAACTTCCTTCTGGAACCACTTGACCATGAACCAATGCAAAATATGCAAAGAAACAGAAAAATACATTCAGGCTGCTTATCATCTCTGAGCAATTGGCAGTTCCTTAAAATATGGTAACTGAGAAAGAAGAATAGATTTTTTTTTCCTGGATTCATGTGTCAAGGCATCTAAAAGTTATAGACATGAGAGAAACTCCCATCTACAGTAGGGTCTTCAGTCCTGTTTACTTAGTATTTCTTTGTGCACTCTATTTTTCTCAGGCTAGTAATAACTTTGAGGCAAAAAATCTTGATCAATAATGGAAGATGCAAAAGGTAATCATATCACTTGGAAGTTTCTAAGAACATTTAGATTAAATCCTAGGGGGTAGGAAAGTTTAAACACTGATTTCAACCAACTAAAAATTATTCTAAGTGGCATGTTCTTAAATTAAAAAATAATAATCGTAAACACAAAAGGGCAGAAGCCAGACCTGTGGGTCCCAGTGGAATGTATTTAGTGCCCATATGAAAAAAGGATTATCTAGTTCTGTACTGAATCCCAAATACCTAGAAGAGTGCCTGGCATATCACAGACTACCAATAAATACTCACTAAATTAGAAGAATGAGTAAATATTTCTTGAATTTTAAAAAAGTAGCTCGTCAGGGGTGGGGAGGGAAGGGGGATAAGAGGAGATTCCAGCTCATAACCAGTCAAAACCAAGGAAGGATAAATGCAATGTGGTATTCTGGTCTGGATACTGGAACAAAAGTTTTAATGGAAAATACTGGTAAAATCTGAGTAACGTTTTTACTTTAGTTAATAGCATTATGCCAGGGCGCCTGGGTGGCTCAGTTGGTTGGGCGACTGCCTTCGGCTCAGGTCATGATCCTGGAGTCCCGGGATCGAGTCCCGCATCGGGCTCCCGGCTCAGCAGGGAGTCAGCTTCTCCCTCTGACCCTCTTCCCTCTCGTGCTATCTCTCATTCTCTCTCTCTCTCAAATAAATAAATAAAATCTTTAAAAAAATAGCATTATGCCAGTGTTCACTTCTCAGTTTCGACCTGTACTACAATCATAGAAGACATTAATATTAGGGAAAGGCGTTTCTGCAACTTCTGTAAGTCTAAAATTATTCCAAAATTTCCAAGTTAAAGGGGGAAGGGGAGGCCCGGAATTGGAGCCTTGGCCCCAGGCCCTGGGTTTGGGCGGTACAAGGTAGAGCCCAGAGGCTGGAACAGGGTCACGGAGAGGCGGCCACTACAGATGTGCCTCGTCCGGTTGCGAGCCCAGCCTGAGTCCCAACCTCTGCCAAGTGGGCGACAAGGTTCTCTACTTCTGCAACCTTACACCGCCCGGGCGCCTCTTCCGCCTTCACCGGACGGTTTGGGGTCGCACAAATGCACCTTCGACTATCATTAACTGACACGCCCACCCTAGTCCTATTAAGCAAAGCCAACCCTTTCGGGATCTTGGCAATAAAACACCCGGTAGCGGAGGCCAGCTCTCTACCAAGCCGGGAAAACGAAAGAACAGAGCGAGGCGGGGACAGTCGCACCCCGAAGGCCGCCGCCGCCCCTGGCCTCCGTCCGCCCCGCCCTTCTCATTTACACCAAGTGAGGCCGCCGGGCTCCTCAGGCCCGGGCGCACCAGGCGAGCAGTCTGCCTCCCCCGCCTCCACCCGCTCCATGGCCTGAGCGGCGTCCTCTTCCTCGTAGCGTCCAGCTTCCTCCGCGGGCTCCACCCCCAGCTGCTCCATTCCGCCGCGGCCAACCGCAGCGCAGCTTCCGGCCGCTTCCGCCCGGTCTCCAGGGAAACCGCGAGCCGACCGCCCCCAGCCGCTTCGGCCTTCACGCCTGCGCAGTCCGGGCCGACCAGGCAGTTGCTCGGAGGGTCGCCGCGCCTGCTAGCAGTCCTCTGGTCTCGCGTGCTAGGGTTCATTCTCGCCCTGTCAAGGCCGGAAGTGAGGGACTGGAGTCCCAGACAGCTTTCTTTTTCTTCTTTTCTTCTTTTTTTTTTTTTTATATCTTTGGAGTTAGTCCCAGACCACAAATTTTAACTTTTTATCTTTACAAAGAGGCCAGCCTGTTCTCCCGATAACTGTTAGCGAAATTGGTAACCCTTAGACACTGAACGATTTATGGTGATGGAGGGTGGGAGAAAGAGTGGGAATTATGGTAAGAGCAAGGCGGCCATGTAAACTAATATGATTAGCAAGTATGTTAAAATATGTTGCATTTCATTTGTTGTTTGATTAAAAGACACTGTGACAGATTAGACTCCTGAATTCTTAATCATCTAAGGTCAAGAGGGATGTGATATATGCGTTTTGGAATCAGATAAAATTTCCAGTCCAGACCCTCCAACTTGCTAACTGTATGACTTTGGGCAGGTTGCAAAACTTCTCTGAGCTTCAGTTTCGACACGGGTGGGGGGGTGGGGGGCGGGGAGGGAGTTGTTTTCAGTGTCCTGAGATTGAATGAAAGAATGAGAACTAACATATACTTTAGTATTCTCATTTACGTAAAACACCTGGCACATAGAAGGTGCTCAGTAAATGTTAATTCTCTTTGCCTTCTGTTAAGATGCTTGTGTGCCTGTATGTGTGTGTGTATGTGTGTGTGTTCCAATAGAGGAAATTTGGACATTTCTCGGTGTATCTATGTATTTATACACAGTCACACACATATTTTGCCTTTATACAGGAATCTGTTCTTACAAGTAGGATGTGAAAACCTTGACAAACCCTTTATAGGACATGCTGCTGCATCCTTAAAGAAGGAATAACCTGCAGAACTGGGGCACAGTTTGGAGACCAAGTCTTCCTCTTTGGGTATTTTACTCTTAGACATCTGGACCAGGTCTCTAAAAGTCTCCAGGCTAGGATCTAAAATATTTAGAGCTATGCTGCTTTCTTTGTGAATGCTATTTGATAACTCTGGATAAAGAGCTTTTCAACTAAGTGGCTTCTTTGGACACTAAGTGCCTCTTGGGCTATCATCAAGGGTCCAATTTCTTATAGACAACTAAGGTATTTTTTTTTAATTCCTCCATTTTGAGAATGATACAAACGCCTGAAATGCCATGGCAGATTAATAGCTCCTTTGTAACAGCTCGAGGCCCACTAACATTCAACAGCTTGAGTAAAAGTGAGCAAGCATTGAAAAACAACATACACAGTCAAGCCCTATTTGGTTAGTTACATTTATTTCCCTGTCAATTGTCAAATTGAAGAGGGGCTTTTAATTTAAAAGAATAGACAAACGGAACTTGAAAACCCTAGGGGAGCAAGCAAGGCTGGCTCTATGAGTGTACAGCTGATGCAGTAACAAAGAAAGCCACTCTCTTGGAAGGGCCCCTCACTTGGTTTAATGTTTTGCTGTGGTCATCTTGAAATTCTTAATTTTTGAGCAAGGGAGCACTCATTTTTTATTTTGCACTGAATCTCATAAATTATTTAGCTGGTGCTAGGAACAAAGGAGGGAAGTAGCACAGAAATGACAATAAAACACCTGTATGTCAGGCACAGGGCTAAAAGCTTAAAACAGGGGCGCCTGGGTGACTCAGTCTGCCTTTGGCTTGGGTCATGGTCCCAGGGTCCTGGGATCGAGCCCGGCATCGGGCTCCCTGCTCCGTGGGAAGCCTGCTTCTCCCTCTCCCACTACCCCTGCTTGTGTTGCTTCTCTCCCTGTGTCTCTCTGTCAAATAAATGCGTAAATGCATAAATGCATAAATAAATGAATAAATAAATAAATAAATAAATAAATAAATAAATAAATAATTTTAAAAAAATAAAAAGTCTTTAAAAGCTTAAAATAGATGATCTCATTCAACATGCCCTGGAGGGTAGGTATCATCATTCTCATTTTACTAAAAATGAAACAGGCCAGCAGAGACTAAGGTGCTTACTCACGATTATGAATCTAGTGATGGTAAATCCACTTGTCAAGAGTTTTCCATAGAGAAGAATTTATTAATGTTTCTTCCATAGAGGAAATCACTCCCTCTGTCCCTTTTCCTTGGTGCTTCAAGCATCAGATAACTTGAAGTAGGGAGAATAAACATCCCTTGAATATACTAAGAGGCATAAAAATACAGTTTATATGAGTACTATGTGTTGCTTTGTTGTGGAATGAATTAGGAAGTGCTTTTTTTAATTCTATAAATCCCTTCTTTGGTTTTAATTAACCCATTCTAATCTAGGATAATTTCAGGAAATAAATATATTGAGCCTAGATCATAATTGCATATTTAAGGACGAAATGAGAGAATTACAAGGCAAAATAAACAATTAAATAAAATTATGGTTGAAACAATATTCATGGGGGGAGCATGGGGTTGCAGTGTGACTAGCAGATTAAAAAAACAATCTGCGGACATTTACAGCTTCAGTAGTCAAGACACCATGAACATTAAAAGTGACATGAACACCCATGTCACTTAAAAACACCATGAACATTAAAAGCATGAACACCCATGTCAGTGAAGGGTGGGAAAGTTACCAGTGCTTCTCTTCTCCTAGCCAAATTAGTCACGTAAGGCTCAGAGGAAAAACTCTAGACAATGTTCAAGGGCTTTGACATGAAAAGTGTGAAGGTGTTTGAGTGTCTGTATTTTATGTTGGTAGGTAGCTAGGTAGGTAGAGGTTGACTCTGAGGTCAAAGGAGCACTTTGGATTGGAAAAAGCACTAAGGGTTTGGTTTTGTAGGGTTTTTGGCCCAGTGCAGTGGTTCTCAATTGGGACTGATTTTGTCTGCTAGGAGATATTTGGTAATATCTTGGACATACTTTTGGTGACCACGTCTGGGGAGTTGGAGCTCTGCCCTACTGGCATCTGTTGTGTAGAGGCCAGCGATATTGTTGAACATCCTACAATGCACAGGGCAGCCTTTCACAATAAAGAATTATCCAGCCCAAAGTGTCAGTTGGGCTGACCAGAGGTGGGCACGCTGACCTAGTAGTAGCTTTCATACCATCCTGCTCCCAACTGTCTCTTCAGCTTCAGGTCCCCAATTATAATGAAGAACTGGTCTTCAGATATGTGCTTTTAATTACAAATCGACATTTTTAGAGAAAGGAAGATATAAGAGAGGGAGAGAAGTATTACTTAGTCGCTTTTCATTTTGGGAATTTACATTCTGAGGCTAAAAACAAATGCATTTGCCAGAAAAGAGATTTAAGAAAAATATCCATATTTTTATGGAGCTTGGTAGTTGCCCCTAGGGTGAAAGGCTGATGAGTCAGAAATAATTCATAAGGCTTAGAAGCTAAAACCAGAAAACACAGAAAGGCTTCAGATGGTTGAAAGCAAACTATAATTATGACACGCTGTTGTACAATGTGCATGTCATGCAGTATTTACTTAACAACTTTCATCGAAGGATCTCAAACCCTTTGCACGAAAACTTTACTCATCATGAAGAAACCCTCTTCTCTCTCTGTCTCTCTTTGCATATCCCATTGCACACCAAAGTTGCAGTTTCAAATTTTCTCCGTGTAACCTAAAAATATTTGCTTCATACCATGTGACTGTGGCTATGAGAGGTGTAAGAGGCTGGAGTTTTTCTAACAGTCAGCTTCTCTTTGCTTTGACCTTTCTTTGTGGTTCTGTAGAAGTCTGATGAAAAGCCTGCATAGTTGTTTTAGTAATGACATTTAAAACATTGCTTGTCAGGTTGTGCTCAATGGACCTTGCTTTGTCATTTTGGAGACAGATGGGGACCAATGTGATCACAATACAAGTCATTGGGTTCCAGCTTGTAAATGAAGTCTGCAAACTTCAGCCACTGAGGGAAAGAGAACTACTGGATGTCATATAGAAAGTGCAAGCAGATTGAAATAGATCAGGTTTACTATGCTATATTTATAGGCACATAACTTTCATGCAACAATTTTTTTAAAAAAAGAAACCCTTTTTCTGATTGCAAAGGTAATTCAGGATTATTATAAGGTATTCAGGATTATTATAAAATATAGAAAGGAGGTAAGAAGAAAATGGAAATAATCCATAATAATTCATAATTTGGGTGCTCAGAGATAACCATGCCTTAATAGTCTTTTCATAAAGCACAACTTAGGCTATTTTTTTATTTCACAAATATATTTCTGCATCTATTTCTTTACCAAACCACAAAAACCATTGTGAGATGCATTGTCAGAACAAATGACATAGAAAAACCTTTATAATAAAAAAAAAAAGAAGATAGCATGAGGGGAAGGATGAAGGGGAGTAAGTCGGAGGGAGAGACGATGGACTCTGAAAAACAAACTGAGGGTTCTAGAGGGGAGGGGGGTGAGGGGATGGGTTAGCCTGGTGATGGGTATTAAAGAGGGCACGTTCTACGTGGAGCACTGGGTGTTATGCACAAACAATGAATCATGGAACACTACATCAAAAACTAATGATGTAATGTATGGTGATTAACATAACAATAAAAAATTATTTAAAAAATTAAAAAAAACTAATGATGTAATGTATGGTGACTAACATAATAAAATAAAATTTAAAAAAATTAAAAAAAGAAAAATCTTTATACATTTGCTTGCTTTTGATGTTAATATGAAGGAAATGAATAAATATGGTCTCAGCATATTTTATTATATGCTTTTATATAAATTATAAATAAATTATATTTATTATTATATAATAATTATTATTATATTAACATCTCCAAGATTGGAGATGTTAATAATTTCAGTTTAGGGGCGCCTGGGTGGCTCAGTCGTTAGGCGTCTGCCTTCGGCTCAGGTCGTGATCCT